AACTATTCCGGATTAGCCCGACATAGAATTCGAACACGTGCTAAAGAATAAATTAATAATTGATTATTTAGCCGATGATTCGGTTAAAAGTTTAAGAGAACGTCATTTTGGTGCTACGTTCAATACATTGAAGTTAATTGCTCGTAAAGAGGGTCTTATAGGACTTTATCGTGGTGTTTCACCAAATTTGGCTGGTTCAGCGGCTAGTTGGGGATTTTATTTTTATTGGTAAGGAAGTATACCAGATCATTGGTAGGTTTATTATCCATATCAAAAGTGTTTTAATATATCAAGTGTTTAAGGGGAGTGTCGTTTATTATGAGATTTTTTATCATGAACAAATGGATAAATTGATTATCTCTCTCATAATACATATTCGACCAAAATTTTAATAAATGGCATTCTCCTTACTAACGATCAATTTAATATTATATTTGGTTACAACTTAGGTACGATTTAATAAAGCGATGGATTGCTAATGGTGATAAATTAACAAAACTTTCCGCTGCACAACATTTATTAGCATCTGCTGAGGCAGGTAATTAGGATTATTGGTAAATAAATTAGAAAGGATAAAATTTGTTAAAATTGCTTTTAATCTGGAATTATGTAATCATTTAACAAGGTGCCATAACGGTTTTCATGACAAATCCATTTTGGGTGGTTAAAACACGGATGTGCGTTACAAGTCGTAAAGATCCGGATGCATATAAAGGATTGATAGGTAATAAATATTCATCCTTTTAGGGTCTACAAATATCAGCTCATTATAACCAATTTCTCTAATATTTTCTTTTAATTATCGGTCAGTTATTATCATTTGACAAAACCTTGATGAATGGGCTGTAATGAGCCGATATTAGTCAATACCTTATTCATCTAACATAAATATTAACCCTTAAAATTTTATATCATGTATTATTATTTAAAGATGGTCTGTACCAAATAGCAAAGTATGAGGGAATTCGTGGCCTATATAAAGGGTTGGTTCCAGGATTATTAGGAGTTTCTAATGGAGCTGTACATTTCATGTTTTACGAGGAAATGAAAAAGTGGAGATTAAAAATTGCTCCTGGAAAAGATCGTGAACGGTTGGTAAGCTTTATACGCGTTTTGTTTATCATTCACCTAATTTCAACCTTTTTTTCATGTAACCTAATAATAATGTTTTCTTCATTTTGAGGACAACGTTGAATATATTTTAGTGGCTGGGTCTTCGAAAACAATAGCTATTGTGGCAACATATCCATATCAACTAATTCGCACACGATTAAATAATCAAAAATTTGTTATCAAATATAATGGTGTGATTGACGCGATAAAAAAAATTTACAGGTAATATGAAAAGTTTGTATCTTAAAATCAATTTATATTATAACTAACTTTTATTTTAAAAGTGCTGAAGGGTTTTTAGGATTTTATAAAGGTTTGGCTCCAAATATATTGAGAGTTCTTCCAAGCACTTGTACAACACTTTTAGTTTATGAAAATATGAGTGCATTTTTTAGGAAGCACGCAAGATTTAATGAGTAATTACTGATTTTATGTGGTAAGCAATTCATAAAATTAGTGAATTCTGATACTGTAATATTTAAAGAAAGGGATCGACACATATTATTCATATTATTATATAGTAGTAATTGAGAGGTTTCTAATGGTGATTTTTTAGAAATGGTTTGTTAAATTTAGTTTAAATAAAGTGTGTGAAATTTTGCAATTTAACATATTAAATATTAAAACCGGATGTAAATTTATTACCTGGGCCACCCGTATTGCTATGAAGTTGTGTACTTGATTGAAAATGAGTTGCATATTGCATGAGATTATAAAAAATTAATTTTTTTGGTTCACATAGCATATATATATATATATATAATAAAAGCATATCTGAATACTAAATATAGACATGTTTTACAATTTTTGACCGGTGGTGCAACAAGGCACCCACTAGAGCAGCGGGTAAATGTCAGGTCGCTGCATTGGGTTAACATAGCCTAGTTATAGGTTGTAAAATATTTCAAAAATTATGTAATGTACTTACGAGTATAGCTAATAAAGCATCACCGGCTTTCCTTGCCAAGTTTAAAAAAAAAAAATTATCTCTTAAACTGTTTCTCCTGCAAATCTGCTTTGAAATTTTTTTATAAATTTGTTTTTACCAATATATCATGATCTAGTAATCAAAATTTAATAATTTTAATACCATTTGATTTGTCTCAATAAGCAATCTGAAAGGTGTTCAAATCATTAAATTCTGATTACTAGATCAAGAGATTTTTGCAAAAAGCAATTTGCAATGCAACTCTACAGAAATTTAAATTTTCTGTGCTGCAGATAGTTTTTTTTACAAATATCTTATAATTTAGTAAACTAGATTTAATAATTTTGATATTATTCAAATTGTTTCATCTAGATAAATCAAATAGTATCAAGACTGATTACTAGATTATAATATATTAATATTTAATTGGTAAATCATTTCTGAAGGTTAGAAAAAATAATAAATCTTATAATAAACAAATTTAGAGATTCATATGTTTTTTCTATAGTATAGAAATATGACTTGCTTACATGTATACTATATATAAAGTTTTTTTAAGTAATCCTTCTTTTAGCTTATCATATAGTACAATTTATAAAGTCAATTTTTCTAATTCTAATAGTAGTAAAAATATTAAAATCAGTTGAATAAATCATAAAATATAAGTATTTTTCAATCATTTATTATAGAGATTTTCTTAAGAAACAAAGCACATAGCATTTTACTTATTATATAAAGTAACTAGTAAATACTCACTAATTTTTACTATTGTAATATAGATGAATTTTTATTAACATTTTTCTTATATTTCTTTTAAATTTTATTATACTGTATATATTTTTTTTTTTTAATGTTAAGGTGACCACTTGGGGGTCTGGCACATTTTATTAACTTTGGTTGCGAATGTCAGGG